GCGTCAAGCTAGAGATCGCGGTATATCTCGTCGGGATTATTCACGAGCCGGGCGTCCGCATTGCGGACGAAATGCGGCACTTCGTCGCGGTCGTCGCTCCGGGCGAGAAAAACTGTCGGGGGGAATTCGTTAATTTTCACGACTCCTAAAACGAGATTGCTGTCTTAGCGACGATTATGTGTTCGCGATCTGTTCGCGGAATGAACGTTTCAAATCAGAAATATCGTCGACGTGAACGTTGCGAAAAAGCAGCGAACTTGATCGTTGTCGTAAATTTCTGTTTTTTTTAACAAACTCGAATCACGAGACACACCCGCAACTTCGCAATTGCACCGGTGCAACGCAAGAAAATGCACGAAAGGCGGATGCGCGCGTTTACGCGCACTTAAACGCGCGCCTCTGCGCCCCCCCTCTCGTAATAATTAGTATCCGTTCCACGAATTAGCCGTCACGACACCACTCGTCGTTTCCATCCTCTTCCGCCACTCGTCGTCGGCGACTTGTTCCCGGATTTGCATCCGAGAATTCCAGCGCGTTCGCGCTGAAATCTCCGAACTTCGCGCCGACTTACATGCGAACGAGATTGGCGCGACAATTTTCGTTTCAAGAAAATCTCGCGCGAGAGACTCGACAACGTCAAATTATCGCGCGGACGAGCTAAATTAAAAGTATTAATTCTTTTCACTAGATTTCTCCGTTTTCCAGAACGATCGTTCATCGAGTCTGCCAATGGGCGCGAAGTTTATCGAGAAAATAATAAAAAGAAACACGTGCGAGGGATTACATTGTAATTAATCATATCTCTTAATAACTAGATACGTCGCTTCCGCAACCGGGGGGAGACGTCAGTTGTCGACGAGTAGCAACGCGACACAACCAGTTCTTTCATTTTTTTTTTGTCTCAGGATAATTCAAGGACAGATAAATTTATCACAATATTAAAATTACACGATCCATCGTATTTGAATAGAAACGATCAGAGGTTGGCAAGATGACGCTGTTGTTTTTTTTTCATTCCGAGTTTACTTGCATTTCTCGTTTTACATCCTTTCGCGTGACTCCGTAACCGGGCGAGGAACTTAATCGATCCGCTCAATCAGAGGTGGCGAACGATAACGGGAAAAGCGAATCGCGTATCGCCTCTCACTCTCCGGTGGACGGAGAGAGAGAGGGAGAGAGCGGAAGCTCTCGTCCGTGATGCTGTGTGTGTGCGTTGTGTTTAAACGCGGCGTGTGCGCCCGCGAGTATCGATGGGAAAGGTAACTCGAGAGAAGAGGGGCGGCGGGGAGAAAAATCCGACATTCCAGTGCGGGCTCGCGAAACGCAGTCAGCGATCCGTGCGCGCGCGCGAACAGCGACGTACCAAGTTAAACCTTTCCCACATTATCGCATCTGTTCTCGCGAACTGGACTCGCGAGATCGCCACAGATGTTATATATATATATATTTAACAAACGCATTAAACGAGAAAGTCACACACACGTGCGAATTGCGTGACTAAAGAACATATTGTTTGTGACTTTTGTCATTTTACAAGAAAGAATTACGGAATATTAATCTATTCTCGGTTGAGAAACATGATGTAAAAGAGAGACCTTATTGGAGAACGTGCGCGCGCCGTTACTTAACGCCGCCGATCTTGGAGAAAGTGGAGACCGCGGATTTGCGCGACGTAAGCCAAAGAAATTCCCTCGAAACCGGCGCAGGCAAGGCCGAGGGGATCGACTTCCGATTTCGAAATCGAGCTTAGGTATTGGTCCGTTTCGCGGAGGGGTGTATATATATCTGAGATATAAGTAGGCGCGTGATTTTCTAGCGAACGCGTCGGTATTCGTGTCAGACGGTTACGAGATCCGACACCGCTTAAAACGGCGTATTAGCATGTGGGGTTTGCTTCGCCGCGCTTTTACTTTTCGTCGTGAGAGAGCGATTACGTGAACCTTCGAAGGTTAACTAATTCGTGAATCAGGATTCGATCTCCCCCTCCGGGTTGTAATAAATTTCTGTGATTTCGTCTCCGTTTTTCTCTGTCTCGTCTCTCGGTTACGCGAGGCTATTTAAAAATAGCTTTTTTTAAAACTATTTAGAATATTCGAAACAACGACAAAAGTGAATATTCTCGCAGATAGTGTGTTACAAAAGTAACTCACGAGGTATTTGTGTGAACAAAAAAAGTAAACGATAATATTCTCGCGATAAAGCGAATATATTCTCGAATATATATTCTTCTTTTCTCGCAGATAATGCGAGAAAAGTGATTGACGAGATCTTTGTTCACATAGAGAAGAAATCTCACATAGTTACTTTTCTCGAAATCTCGTGAGAGTTACTTTTTGTTACTTTATTACCTGCAGGAATGTTTTTCATCACTTATAGTTTTTAAAAAGCTATTTTTAAGAAGCTTCGGGTAATCGAGAGACAAGACAGAAAAAACGGAAAGAAAATTACAAAAATTTATTAAAATTTTTAAATAGCTTTTATTTATTGATTTATTTTCACACAAGAGATTTCGTGAGTTACTTTCACGAGCAAGCCGGGGTGCAGAGCACAAAACGGTATCGAGAATAAATTGAATAACGCGGAAACTACACACACGTACACCGCGCGCATAGAAATGACGAGTCCTCTCGACGGAGCAGCTGCCGATCGACACTTCTGATTTTCTCTGATCGCAATTCAGTTTCCTATAAAGATACAATGTTATCTCGAGAGGTATTTACTATCTCTTTTTTTACCTGAATTCATATCGGTGATTAAACTCGTTAAAAAAGGACGATAGAAAATTGCCATTCTCGGTTTCCCGTCTGGAAATGAAAAATTTTCCACGAAAGGAAGAACCCTTAACATTCCATACCTCTTGAAACATGAAACGTTAAAAGTATTTCACTCAAGGAACAAAAACGTCTTTATCTATTGTCGAAAAACGATGGGAAAGTTATTTAAAGTAGATGTCAATCCAAAAATCCATCCAAACGGATAATGATAATAGTGAGCGAATATGTTTGCGTTCATTTTTGACAACTTTCCCATCGGTTTTTTTACAAAGTGATAATGACATGAGTTTCTGTTTCTTGAGCGATAATCGTTAACGGTCTTGCATGAACTTTTCACTTCCAGGCGAGGCCAAAAAAATAGCTATTTTCTATCATTCTCCCTTGCACGCTGCAATCGGCATCGCCATTTTCGTAATTATCTTTCGTAATTTTGTATCCCCGATACAACGGTCGTTCGCGCGCTCATCGTGAATTAATACGCCGTTGTGAAACGGCGAATACTCTGACAGCGAGGTAATTCTGATACATCGCGTTAAACGCGATTAGAAATCGAATAAAAATTACGATTCCGTGTGAAGGACATAATGAACGATAATTTACATATTTTTCTACGTACGGCGATTCAAGTTTATTTATTATTTTTATTTAACTTTTTCCTGGACAATTTAATCTTTCGCGGACGGACCTCGAAAATGACTTACGAAGACAAACTGGGTTTGTGAGACCTACGCGAGTTTGAGATCGAATATCTTCGCGAAATATCAATATTTTTTCCACTTTTGAGTGAATCTAGGAGACTCACTTCTGTCCGTGAAGAATTAAATTAGTTTAACCGAATGAAAGGTTTTTTCGTGGATGTTGTGTGCCACGGCTATCCTCGAACAATGATCTCTTTCAAGACCGGTACCGCGAAACACGCTATTTGCGCTAAAGCATTATCGGCTATGTGTGTATCTCCTATCGGAAAGACGTCGATAAACCCGGCCAAGTTTGAAGACGATAAACTTTATCACTAAGGAGGAAAACTAGTAGCACCGCTGAGAAAACTACACGACGACGGCGATTTCTCGAGTTCTAAGATCGAGAGTCAAAGATGATATCGAGCGATATTATTTGTTTTATTCACCGCCTTCGCGAAAGATCAATTTAAACAAGCGCGTAGGATAGGGTAAGGTTTCAAGATAAACACACACATTCGCGCGTCTCGGATGTAATTCTGAATAATTAGTACTTTAGTACGACGCTTTGTGTCGCACGTTTCTTCCAACACCGTGTGCCAACGGCGACAATTCTCGGTGCCTTCGGATTTTTCTATTGGTTTCGTAAAATGAAATACTTATCAACGGCAAAGTAAACATGGCGCCGTCGATTAGTACGAAGAGAGAGAGAGAAGCGCACTCAAGAGTTAATAAATTTCAACTACGCGCGATGCGATAGTTAGTTTACGACTACATTTATGTTTTTTCTGTCGGAAAGAATCAAAGATTATCTATCAAATAATTCGATTCTTATCGTTGCTCGATGTTTCTTTATTTCTTAATAGTATAAGAGAAAGAGCTCTCGTAACCTTCAATTCTATTAGCAATATTAGAACTAATATTAGAACTAATATTTGAACTAATATTTGAACTAATATTTAAACTGATATATTACAAAAACCTAATATTTCAAAATAGTCTCACATCACGAGGTTTCTCTGTTCGATAAAAGAAAAGAATAAATAAAGAATAGATAAGAATAAATAAAAAACCTGATAATATTAATACAAGAATTCTAATATAAAAAACTAATATTTCAAAATAGTTTCATATCACGAAGTTTCTGTTCGAAAGAAAAATAATAAATAAAAAACCGATAATATTGATACAAGAACTAATATTTATTAAAAAAAAAACTAATATTTCCAAATAGCCTCACAAGATTTTTGTTCGAAAGAAGAAGAATAAATCAAAAACCGATAAATGTGTACTGACAAAGACAGACTGCGAACAGTAGAGGACTGCGGTCTGGGAAACGGCCGATGGCGAACTCAAACACAAAGAGAAAGAGAGAGAGAATACTTTTCCTCGTTTCTTTGGCAATACATCACACACGTCTGCTTCTGACAGTACTAGACAGCTGTTATCGATCGTCGTCGACGTATGAATTTCGTGTAGCGTATTCAAAGAAAGAATGTGTTGAAAAATTTTTATCGTGCGGGTAAAAAAAACAAAAAAAAAAACTTACCTTGTTGCAGCGCAGCCATAGGATAATGGCGTTTGAGTATCTCAGAGGACCTCCTAATCCACAGCCGCCGGCGGCGCGTTGGAGCCTCAGAAGCTCGGAATGGGTTTTCCCGTGTTGATAAAAAACTTCCAACGATCTGCAACAAAAGTCATCAATCGAATCCTCAAATTCGCAGCTCCGATGTGTGTTTCATCGCTAGTTTTTTTTTATCTTAACATTAACGCGTTAAAGAGCGACTACTGTCGCGCGCGCGCGCGTGTGTGTGTGTATGTGTGCGCGCGCGATTGAGTCTTCAAGTCGCAGAAAAAAAATCTTTCAAACATTCCTACCTCTCAAGGAGATAGCGACTGTGTGTAACGGGAAACATGTGTGTAGGAGCATGACATATTTTCGACAAATGCGTGTTTAAATTTACGTTCGTGGCGCGCGTCGACAAGCGCCAGCCCTTGATTGGAAGCAAGTCTCTTTTGTGAGCTCTCAGAGAGCGACGTCTAGAATTAATGGTCATTCCGACTTTCTCGATCTCGATGGGTCGTTTAATTTCGTGACTGGGTCGTCGAGAAAGAGGATCCCGCGATCACGTACCGTTTTCGAGGGTAGAGGGGTCTCTAAATGTTGATTTTAATTCGGGCGTACCCTGTCTACGACAGCGGGTCGCTATTTCCGTGACGGTCGCCGCCTCGTTCGTCGTCGAGCAAAGCCCCGAGGCGGGAGAGGTGAGGATAGAGAACAAGAAACGAGGATCACAGACGCGCGCGCGCACCACGACGACGACGACGACGACGACGACGACGGTGCATCAGCCTCCGGAAAGAAACTGCGCGGCGCGATTGTTAATGAGGTAAACGACCGATCGTTTCTTCGACAATCGTACGAAATTTATCGGCCCTGGGCTGTAGAAACCTATGCGTAGGTACAACGTCGACGTGTGTATCGGACGTTCGTGTACAGGTTTAAATCATTTTACAAAATAAATTTTCATTACATCTCATTACAGAGGCGTATAACGTGTTAAAAAAAATGATTAAAATCACATTTTTAATCGCGAATCGCGAGGGAGTTTGTCGTTGCATTCGTTATTTCGAAACACTGGAAAGTTTTTAATATCATATTTGATCCGTATCGAACACAATTGCACAAAATAGACGCAATTTGCAACGTGCGAAACCGGTAAGCGAAATGCGATCGCTCGCGAGAAATGTGCTATCGATGGGAAATATAAAGAGACGGGGGACTGGAATTTCCTTGCCTTGTTCTCCCGAACTGAAATGTCTCTCTCTCTCTCTCTCTCTCTCTCTATATATATATATATATATATATACATATATATATATACATATACGCACACGAAGAAAAATATGAAGTTCCGTTAAAATTTTGTTGGAATGCGCTTATTGCGCGCCGCGATCGAGCCGAGCCGTCGATTCGCGATCCCTAAACGATCAAACATCCAGTATATTTCGGCGATAATAATAAATCCGACACTCTCGTCGAACCATCACGATCATAGGGTTCGAATCCCATCCACTCGCTTATCGGCACGTGAGTTGCTCGCAGCTTTGTAAAGTTATAACGTCGTCAACTCGTTCGAACAGTAACGACAATTTTCTTGACATCAATTGCGAAAATATATCGTTTTTTCTGTAACATCATCCCAGTCGTAAATACGTCACGCGGCGGATGTAATTCGCGATAATTAATGGGACGTTTGTAATTCCGACTGTTCTTTCGTTACGTAATGAAATGATACGCTCGGAGTCCGCGCGCAACGCTCGCTGATATCTCCGTCAAGGCGAGTCATCGCATTAAATCATTGATATCTTTTCGTTCCACGAAAAAATAGTATCAAATTTTTTGTACCGGCAATTGTTAGATTTTAATTTGTGACAAGTTCAAATATCCAACACGCGTGTTGCAATTGCGTGAGATTAGTGCCGCGGATCTCAATTTAATTATTTGAGGACACATTCCTCGGAAATCGCTGAAGCTCTGCGAAACGAATTATCAGAATCGACGAATTATCCTCTGTCGGTCATGAGAAACTCTCTTCGAGTACATCATCGCCGAGTCTGAAATTCTGAAGAGAAACGTATTTTTCTTCCCATCGATTCTCATCAGTCAATTTATTGAATTGATATATTTAGGCATAATTTGCCGAACGTGAAGTTCAGCGAAGCCATTTGGATAAGCCGCAACGGGACTGTCGTTAAATAAATCTTCTGCAACTTTAATTAAAGCGATTCGTTGCGAAACGCCGCGACGAGATTTACGAAACATTCGCGTCCGATATCGCGACTTTATCTCGTCTCGCATTGCCTTGGTCAGCATGACCGCAGTGGTCCCACGAGAAATTTCGCAAAAAATCAAACAACGCCGAAAATTCAAACATTTTTGCAGAACGGAACGCGTGATAATTGCAGCGTTTCAAGAATGAAAAATATATAAATATGTCGCAGCGAACGGACCGAGCGAGGTAAAAATTAACGATCTCTCGGCGGTTCCCGATTCGCATTGGAATTTCGATTCGCCGTTTCTTGCGCCGTTTTTTCTTCTCTCTTCTATATATCTTCGGAGTCGCGATTTCAAGTCGTCCGATGTCGATTGTGCAATTCTCTCTCAGCGGCGTTCGACGAAGAGAAATGGAGATGACGAACAGCAAATGGAAAAGACGACTTTCTCCCGGTACAAGTCAATTTAAAAAGACACCTCGTGATCTCACCCTTCAATTACCACTTTGTATTTCGACGCGAACTGATGAAAATCGATAAAATTAAATTGTTGGTAACTATTTACAAATACATAAAGAGAAAAACTTAAGCAAGTAAATTGGCCAATGTGAGCCTAAACACAGTTAACAGTGTGTAAATGTTTTGCTAATAAAATTTATTCAAAAACGTTTAACGTTTTGATCCCCGGATGGGATCATCTTCAGAAAAACAGGATTTTCAGAATTTACAGGATTTTTCATGTATTCTTTTTCTGACAGGAGCGACACAATGAAAACCGGTCGATCGGATTCCAAGGACATCGTTCTCGAGAACACAGAGCCAGATATTCGCATATGAAATAATATCCGCGTGCCACTGTGTCTGCGGACACGCGTCTGCCATCAGGTAACACGTGTGTGTCGTTTGTGGAATGTATTTCTTTTATGTATGCCACGAACGAGTGATGACTCCCGAGGCGATCGACATCGACCGGTCCGTTCGCTCGTTCGCTCCTTGACTTGTCGTTCCGATTTTCGAATCGCGAATCTAGAAACGCGCGTATTAGTTCGCGCAAACGTATTTAGGACGGTGGAATGAGGTCAGAGTAAATCTAGCGATAGCGCGCGAACAAACGCGCGCGCACTAAGCAAGCTCCAGCAATTCACCCGACGCGATTCGTTATATACGTCGCAATACTTTCCCCTTGTGTTAGATCTCTCGACTCGCCACCATATCTCGCCGTTGCCGCGCTCGCTGAGGTACAACCGCCGCGCGAAATATGCAAGGAGAACGTACACGCCGCCGGAGAGAGAGATAATGCGAGATTAGAATTTTACGAGCCGTTCCGCGCGCGGCAAAAGGCCACTTTCCACTCGCATTTTCGTTCGCAGTCGTTCGCAGAGTCGTTGCCATAAATCCCGTTGCCGGCCACACGGAGTACTCGAAGGCCGCAATATATATGGGGTAGATAGCGACGATATCTTTTCTTATTATTATTATTGAAGCTGGGTTTTCTCTGTGTGTGTTCGGCTTTGATAACTAAATCCCAGAGAGCGAGGCGTATAAGATCTGCACCGACACACAAGTGGAGTCGATATCGCCTATTTAAGTGCCGAAGTAACACAAGTGTAATATTTCTTAATTCATCGGCATGTAATTAACTCTTCGCTGACAGACAGAGGTTTCTTTCAGACCCCTACAAAAATTGCAAACCTGCGTCTCTAGTAAAAATTAGGTTTTTTAAACGCTCTTCGAAAATACTGAATATTTTTTCGATTTGTTCGTTTTGATTGACGCAGAATCGTCCAACCTTTCAAATAAAAAACAAAACAAAATAGAAAAAATATTGATTTTTCGCGGAGATATTCGATTTTAAAGTCGCGTGGGTCTCACAGACTCAGTTTGTTGAACAGGTAGAATATTTTTTCAGGTCTAAAAAGTTAATTTGTTTACAAACATTTCGGATAATTAAGTTTTTCGCAGACATTGTTGCTCACTGACATCCACCCTACGGGAATAAATTAAAAAAATTCGTTTTTTCGAGAAATATCATCTCTCGAAACTCTTCGGTTTTCGAGAACACTTTTTTGCCTTTTGTTATCAAGATGATACTTGCTACACGGGATGTGATATGCTCTTCGCAATGTCCAACTACATAGGCGCGTATCAGATAACTTGAGCGTGTCAATATAGGCAAACGAAAGTAAACAACACACACGGAGTGCAGACTTTTATCGAAAATAAATATTACCCAAGTAAGGGATTTTTTTTCACACAGATTAAATACGTAACAAAATGGTGTAATTTATCGTTCCGAGTAGTATATACGTTCTTGGAAAGAAGGTTTTTCGAAAAAGAAACCTACCAAATGCCAATGACAAGAGCACTCGCTTGGCCAAGGTTGTGCTGAGACGAGTAGAGAAAAGAGAAGGAGAAGAAGAAAGGAAGAGTCGCGCACAAAATCCTTCTCTCGACTGGGGAAAGAGGAAGGAGGGGAGGAAGGAGTATTTCTGGAATAGTGCCAGAAAAGCGAGAGAAAGCGAGAACGGACGGAGAAGTTACTCATCCCGTAGGAGTCTCGCCTAGGACTAGAGTAGGAAGAAGAGCGCGCGCGCGAAATGCGTGGCTACAACCGTCGGCTAATAAAAGACGGGCGGTAACGTAATTCCACACCCGCGCTCCAATAATAGTGCCGTCGTTGCTTTTCGGGCAACGTGTTCCTTCCCGTGTTAAGAAGGAACTATTCTCATCGCATGATTATTCGACAATCGCAGACAAACGAAAAAAACGGTTGAAAACAAGAAAACTAGAACCTCGCAAAAATTGTGACACATCACAATTCGTAAAATTGAGAAGGGTAAGAAAAAAAACTGCGCCCTGCTGCGCTTTGAAACGGAAATCCGTTTTTTACAATAATCGATTCGACACG